GCCAACGGAGCCAGCCAAGCCGGATAAAATGTCATTAGAGTCATCGCCTGAAGATGGAGGTCTGGACGAGGACGCTGGCGGAGACGATATATCTGCGAGCGCCAAGGTACCGTTGAAACCGAGCGCAGGCATAGGAAAGACGATAGCTGTGTGATGGACTCTGTATTTCTTTCGCAGAGGGTAAGTCTCATCCTCACAAGCAGGGGCGAAGAAGGCGACGACTGTATCGACCGCACCAGTGGATGTCCCATATATCGCAAGTTGAATAGAATATTGCCAAGGGTCATGGAAGGTTTCGACTTCACAATAAGCCCAAGGCGTTCTGGCTTGAGGAACCAAGTCATAAAGGGCAAACGATTTCGGTAATTCCACGCAAACAAGGCTGATGCTGCCTGGTTCATGGACATGTGTTGCATACCGAGGGTACTGGATCCGGGGTGCCATCAGCCCAAGCGGTATTGCAACATGTCCACGTACATTCGACTATTCTGCGCCGATACAGATGCTTGTTGGATCCCGTGCAAATGATGGACTGCACAGGTTCGAGCCATTGGTATTGGTCGGTTTTCCTTGGGTTGTTCACGTTATGGTCCCGGCGTGAGTCAGAGCGGCTGAAGAGAGTAGTGATAGTGTCGATCCGTAGATGGCCTAGTTACGGGCATGGTGTGGCCGAGTGGTGTCTCCAAGAGAGGAATATAACTCTACAGTGTAGTTCGAATGGGAATGGGAATTGATGGGATGACGCTGACATGATGCCTTGTGTTGATGTTGCATCCTCTGCCGGTCATGGGTCTTTATGGGATGCCGGCGGTGTTTTTCGTTGCATCCTTGTCATCGACATCAACAGCCGACATGTAGTGCTGAGATAAAGCTCTCCGAAATGCCGATTCTAATTTCTTACCCGTGCCCGGAATCCTAGTCTGGGATCCCTTGATGCAGGATTTTGCCATGCTGGTGACTTGCTTGTTGAAGCTGTCCAGTCAAACAAAGGAGCTCTGTTTCAAATGCAACGTACAAAGATTTCAAACAGTGAAGCAGAAGAGTCAATGGCCATGGAAACTGGCGGCTCACGCTCCGTGACAATAAATGGCGAGCATGAGAACCTCGCCATGCGAATAATGGCACTGGGGCTCCTAGTTGAAGGTGCAGTACTGGGACCTCCCTGCCCCGAGTCCCGAGTCTCGCTTGCGGGGTGTTCAGGCGTCCTGCTGTCTGGCTCCCACAGGGGCACTCACTCCCGCCCATACCCCCAAAACCGACCACTCACACGCCAGTATTTCCGTACCGCAGCACATTGACCCTCGAAATTTTACAATCTTATCAGCAGCTATGATATCGCAACTTTTTTTTTAACCGCCCACCATCCACCGCCTCGCACGACACAGTGACAGCGCCTCCGCGTCGTCAAACTCGCCAATTCTCTCACCCAGAAAGACCCGGATCGAGGACGGTAGGACACACTCACAAATTCCTAATCGCACATCGGCACACAAATCGCCACCATGCCCAAGTCAAAACGAGCCAAAGTCTTCCACCTGACCCAAGTCACCAAGAAGACCCGCGAGCAAAAGGACAAGCTGTTCCAGAACATTCGCGATGCCGTGCCCGAGTACCAGCACTGCTTCGTATTCAGCGTCGACAACATGCGCAATAGCTACCTGAAAAACGTGCGCCACGAGTTGAACGACAGCAGGTAATTTGTCGCCCCCCTCTTCCAAATTCACCAATTCCTCCCGCTGACACACGCCAGACTCTTCTTCGGCAAGACCAAACTCATGGCCAAGGCCCTCGGCCAGTCTCCCTCTGAAGCCGTCGCCCCCGGCATCGAAGACCTAACCCAGTACCTCAGCGGCACCGTCGGCCTGCTCCTGACCAACCGCCCCGCCGAGTCCATCCTCGAGTACTTCAACAACTTCGCACCCGTGGACTTTGCCCGCGCGGGCGTCGCCTCTCCGCGAGACTTCACCATCCCCGCAGGCGTCGTGTACGCCACGGCGGGAGAAGTCCCCGTCGAGCACGACGTGCCCCTCGAGCACACCATCGAGCCGGAGCTGCGCAAGCTCAACGTGCCGACGCGCATGGTCAAGGGCAGAGTGGTGCTGGGCGATGAGAGCGGCCAAGGCGAGGGCTACGTGGTCTGCAAAGAGGGGGATGTGCTGGACTCGAGACAAACGAGGCTTCTGAAGTTGTTTGGGGTGTGCGTCTCCGAGTTCAAGGTCAAGATTCTGGCGTACGTCCCCACCGGTACCGTTGTAGTTGTAAATGGAATGATAACACTGTTGCTGACTTTTCTTCTTCCTTCGCCTAGGTACTGGAGCTCGGCGAGCGGAGACGTCACGGAAGTTGATCCGTCAGCCATGGAGGGTGTGGGCGAAAATTAACGACGACGAGGGAACATAAAAAGAAACTACGGACGAGTTACCTTGAGATGAAGATCATTGACATTTGAAAGTCTGCAGTCACGACTGATACCGGGTGGATTATTCAACGGATCTGGCGTTTAATGGGTTTTTTGCTTGGTTAAGATGGGGTTCATATGCATTTAGAGACCCTGGTGACTCCCAATAAAAACAGTACTACATGACAAGTATCCTCACAAGCGCACCGTTTTCTCTCCCTGTACAAGAGCTTGGCTTCTTTTTTTGTGCGACATGTCAGTAGGCAAGTATATCCTCCTAAGACCCGCGCCAGAGACGGTTTAATGCGAAAAGAAAAAAGTCCCCTTCACAAATTTCGGTCAGTAGTCAGATGCGCCTTACCTCTGACCTTACCTAGTTGTAATGATAGCAATAATACCAGTAGCCTCTCCATGCTACACGCTAATTTTTGTTTCTAACCTACCAGTACAAACAGAAATACAAAGTAAGAAGTTTACCTTTCCATCAATATTCCATTACCTTGTGCTTCCTCTGGAGTTGGGCATGTCGGCTTCGGCAACATACTTAAGTACACGGGGTGTGGTTCCTGCGCTTGCAAAGAATGCGTCTCACGACTGCTAGAAGAGTTATGGGAGTACAGGTCATGGCACAGACCGTCGCATACCTCAAGAACTTCGAGTGATACCCACCATATGGAGGAGGAGATGCCTAATAGCGTCGCAGTTTTCGCGGATCTTCGTAACCACCTCCCTCGTATCCTCGTTTCCGATTATCATCGTCGCGCGGCGGCCTGTCGTAGTCCCGACCTCCTCGGTCCCTGTCCCTGTCCCTGTCGCGGTCGCGGTCGCGGTCGCCCCGATCACGATCACGGTCACGGTCACGGTCTCTATCTCTGTCCCGAAACCCACCCTCTCTGCGCCCAATAGGCTCCATATTGCCGCCAGTGCGACGGCCGCCGTCACGGTAACCACCGCCAGGTCTATCGTCAAAGGATCGTCCACCCCTGGAATCATACCCGCCGCCAAAGCCACGGTCACCATTTCTGCGGTCGCCTCCGGGGCCGGAAGGAGCTCCGCTTGGCGCACTGAAGCCATTCCTATCTCCACGAGGCCCATCGCCTCTGAATCCTCCACCACGGCCACCGAACCCGCCACGGAAGCCGCCTCGGCCGCGTCCTCCTTCGAATCCTTTAAAGCCCCCACGAAAACCACCGCCGAAGCCGCCGGCAGGGCCACCTCCAGGACGAGCAGGGGTCGACTTGGTGTAACCACGTCCACCGAGGCCGCCGCCCAATCTACGGGGCTTCCATCCCTTGACGGTTCGGCCTCTTTCGACATCTACTTTAATGCGTCTGTCTTTGATGCGAATGCCATCACAGGAGTCCAGGGCAGCTACATTGTACATGCGCCACCAAGGCGCAGGTGTTAGCAACTCTTACCAGAATAAACACCGATTGTTGCAACCAGGTCTGAGGGACGAAAGAGAACAGGAGGAGAAGGGACTGAGACCAGGCAAGCTTGAGGGCCATTTTATGTGTGTCTCGATGTGTCTTCACAGAGAGTAGGCAAGCTTGAGGGCCGCATCTCCAAGATATACATCCAGGGAAGGTCGTGTTTTTTTTTTGAAAGGCCATCAACGGGGTATACACGGGAAATAGTTACCTCTCATGTCCTTTTCTCTTTCAAACACTACGAAAGCATATCCACGGTGAGCCTTTTTCTTCTTGTTGGGCTTTTCATGCGCGTGGGTATCAGTGATGATGCGGATCTACGTTTCAATTAGCATCCTCTTTGTGTTTTGCAACAGATTGTGGCTGACGAACGCGCTCAATTGGACCGAACCGACCAAACTCCCTCTCCAAGTCTCGTTCGTCGGCGTCGTAGCTGAGCCGCGCAACGATCAGAGTCTTGAATGCATCGCCTCGAATATTCGGGTCTTCGTTTGGGGCGTCTGCTTTCAATGTTAGCACCGAGTATTATCAATGCAAGGAACATGACACGAATCACGAACAGTTCTTCGGCCCTTCGGTGAGTAACTTCTCGACAGCTTCCTTCTTCTCGTGCTTCTTTCTGTCCTTGGCCTCGAGCCAACTCTCCGTGGGGTTGTACACATCCGTCTCCTTGTACTTCTGAAGCTCAGGCAATAACGCAGCAACGCCATTAATCGGCGCGGTCTTGCGCTTTTCAGGGGCATAATCTGGCGGCTCTACCCATCGCAAAGGTGGTCGTGGCGCGAACAAAGCCAACAGATTCGGCGGGAGCTTGTCAGTCATGATGCCGGGCTCAGGCGGTACAACTCGCGTAAAAATCCAAAAGCACAATTGACAGCCGAAATGCGACGGTCACCCAGCCCGTAGTTGGGGGTAATTGCTGCCGGGAGCGTTGCAAAATCTGATGACCACAAGTGGCTGCTATGAATGCGATGCGAAAGCTCTTGGAAATTGTGAGGCCCAGTCTGGGGGGAGGATGCCTCGCGGCAGAGTTTTGCCGGTGCTGGCCCGGATCACGCTAAGCCCACTTTGGCGACCCCCAGCGTGAGCATTGAATTTTTGAGTGAGTCTCGAGTACCTTCCCTTTGGCACGCCAAACGGACCATGAGGATATTGCCTGTGGCCACAGCAAGATGACAGTAAAGGCATTGCGCGCCGTTGCGAGCGGAAAGGTATGACAAATATGCTTTGCCTCGAATCAAATGGCCTTTTCAATCGATTCTGACGGATAGCAGAATGGCGTCGGGTCATTCATTCTTCAATGCAAGAAGATGGACTTTCATTATTGCGATTGGGCTGGAAGCTCAAAGGGCATGAAGTAGGTTTTCCCGATGGATTCGATCATAGAGTGAATCAAACGTGCTTACGACATCTGTGCAGTGGTTTCATTAAGTCCCTCCTCCCTAAATTTGCAGCTGCAAACCCCCAAGTCGAATTCGCCGTCTCCCCTCGACCCGGTAAACACCCCGTCATCATCGGACACTACATCAATGGGCGCACAAAACCTATTTGCGTACGAAACCTATCGCCGTACGAGATTTTACAGAAAGTAGAGCTGCTACGAGATGCAAGCGGCGAGAAGCTGAAGAGAACGAACAAGGCTGTCACGAGTACCAGCCCCAGTGTCAGAGGAATTTGGTCACCATACCACGGAAAGGGAATGGTTGTGTGAGGCTTCATGAGTTTTAGAGGATTCAAGAAAGAAAGGCAACTGGAAAGGAAACTTTCTATGTATTTATTACTTGTATTAAAGATGGGCAAACGTCGTGTTTTCAGCATAGAGCGGCTTGGATACTTTGGGCTTTGAACGGTTGGTCAAGTTTGATCACAAGAAAGGAAAATTGACAAAAAACTACGATACGTCTGTACAGTCTACATTTACCGTCATCACTGTATCATCAAGAAATGAAATGTAGGAACGTCTACAAAGTGCCTTATTCAGACTATAATTTTGTGAGGGGCGGTGCGAGACCCTCGGCTAGAGTTTTGTTGCTTTGCGCACGCTTCACTGCCTCTTGCAGTTGATAATGTCGATGACTATGAGATGGGTTAGAATAATGTCGAAGTGAAAGATCAAGACAGGGTGCCAAAACGTACAAGCAGGTTTGAGTGAAGCACCACCAACCAAGAAACCATCAATATCAGGCTGCTTGCCTAGCTCGGCGCAGTTCTTCTCATTGACGCTACCGCCGTAGAGAATGCGAGTCTCCTCAGCCACCTTGTCACTGACATTCTTGAGCCAGTCACGAATGGCCTTGTGCACTTCCTGAGCCTGCTCAGTGGTAGCAACCTTGCCAGTACCAATAGCCCAAATAGGCTCGTAGGCAATGACAATCTTGGACCAGTCGTTGATCTGAGCCTTGAGAGCCTCGAGCTGCTTGCTCACAACCTCAATGGTCTTGCCAGCTTCACGCTCCTCGAGGCTCTCACCGCAGCACCAGATGACGCCGACGCCGTTCTCGGTGGCGTACTTGGTCTTGGAAGCGACCACCTCGTCAGACTCCTTGAGGATGGTGCGGCGTTCAGAATGGCCCAGGATGACCCAGTTGATCTTGCTGTCCTTGAGCTGGGAGACAGATATTTCGCCGGTGAAGGCACCGCAGGGCTTGTCGAAGACGTTTTGAGCGGCAACCTCGATGCCGGAGCGGATGCTGTCACGGACGAGCTGGAGATATAGGGCAGGAGGAGAAACAACGACCTCTGTTTGCTAGTTAGCATGGAATACCCCGTTGTTTCGGGGGTGGATGGCTTGCCCAGATTACGTACCGACTTCAGCATCGAGAGTGGCCTCGTTCAGGTTCTTGACAATCTCCTTGATGGACGAGACAGTCCCGTTCCTGGCACATGACTGTCAGCAATTGCTTCTTGCTGTTCTGTTCCAGCGGCCGAATTATCCCATAGTTGACCTGCGGTGTTTTGCGAGCTCCCAACGCATGTAGACGCGGGGCATGGAGGGGCAATGCCGCATCGGCTGTTTGACACGGACTCACATCTTGAAGTTGCCGCCGACAAAGAACTTGCGAGCCATTTTGAATTGGTGTGGAGGAAATGCTGAAGGGGGGCTGGTACGAGAGGAATCAAGGGCTCAAGAAGCAATTGTGTACAAAAGTATGGTCTAGGATTGAGTTACGTTTGGGAGTACGGAGTCCCAACGGTCCAGAAAAGTTGCGCACATGCAGCCCACCTCGCACCTTGAGCGCTAAAATCATGTGTGGTGCCCGCCCAAAGGCCAAGGTCAGGACTCAGGAGGGGCAGCAATCGTCAATGATCTTTCCTCAACATTGAACCTCCGTTCTCCTGCACCCCTACTCGAACCGTTTACTCGAAATGGGCCAGCCGTCGTCATCCAATTACATTTCGAACGCGTATATTGACAGTCTTGTGTATAGCCAGGCACTACGGAGTACATAAGCTCAAAACATTCTGCAAGCGAAAACCACCACCAATTCAATTAATTATCACTCATCAGTGTCATCACCAACATCACGCACTTTCACCCCTCGTCACCAACTACGACCGGCCATATGGAGGAAACTTGTCGTATGAACCATCACACGCTTCGGTTCTAAAGTAGCCACCGTTCTGGCCAGTCAATTCTGTGCCATTTGGGGCCATGATCCTGACCGACATGGCTGTGTTTCCGCCCTTGTCACCCCATGCAACTCTAATGGGGTAATACGTTCCCTGCTCCAGGTGCCTTGTCGTACGTGTCTCGTCACCGGGAGGCGGAATATAGGTCCTCTCAATATCTGCGTTTGCACGAGTCCAACCACGGAAAGCGTTTTCGCCTAGCCAGACCAGAACAATATCGTCTGCTTGCCCAAAGATGAATGTGTAGTTGCCTGTCTCTGGGGCGAGGAGAAATCCCTGATGTATCACAGAAGCAAGGTTGATGTCTATGGTCTGCCCGTAGAGTTCCTCTGGGTTGTCAATGAGCAGCGTGTTTGTTCGACCGCCGTGCTCTGGCCTTTGAGATTTGAATACGGTCGGGTCATACTCTGTAAAAGGGGGTGATTTGACGCTGTTCCAGGATAAAGGACCGCGCCACTCTGCCCAGTCAAAGCCGGGTTGTCCGCAAGTAGGCGGTTTTGGCATGCAGTGGTCGTTGCTGCAGATCATGTCCTTGTGGCATTCTGAATCAGCACGGCATTGCCGACAGTCGCCGTCTCTGCAAACTAGGCCCGACCTGCAATCCGAATTCTTGGTACATTTTGGCGGTAGAGCGACGTGTGCAAGACATTTGCCGTCGGTACACTGAAGATGTGGTCGAAAATCACAGTCTCTGTTTGATTTGCAAGGTGTACACTTGTTGTATTTGCAAATTTGACCATTACACTCACGATGATTGTGACAGACCTTTGGATTGCATGCGTAGTCTTTGCAGACTTCATTTATATCGCAATCGTCGTCTTTGGAACACCTGCACTTGTCCTTGCACTGCTTCTTGACCGTGCTTCGGGCATCTTTGGCGCATTTTCCAAGGCTTTCGATATACTGGACCGTGTGAGTGATGTAGTTATATGGTGGAAGTATAACTGCCTTGCGTATACCTTTCTGAAGTTTTTGCAAAGGCGACCTTTGAGATCACTCGCGGCGATCTCGCTCTCACAATACTCATCACACAGTTTCTCACGAAGTGTTAGCCAGGTACTAAGTTGATGCATCGTGATGTACCATACCTCAATGCTTGCAGGGAATTCTGTTATGTCGCAAGCTGTTCGAAGCGACTTACAAATATCTCCCAGCAAGGGCGATTTGTGCTGCGGCAGTAGGGATTCTGGATTGAAATCCTGGGCCAGGATAACGCGAAGTGCCGAGACGACGAGATAAGCAGTTGAAAGCAAGCGTCGATGCATTTTATGAATAATCATTTGACCTTTCTCTCTCTTCTTTTGGGGTCGATTGTCAAGGGAAGATGGCTTGAATTGAGGGCAAGTCAAATGGCTAGGAACTCAACTGGTTTTAAACATCGATATCTATGCACCTGTCTATTATCTTGTAGTACCAAATGTTACGGAAGCGTTCAACTGATCGACAATAATTGCCGAGTTGCGTGTGTCTGATCTCGGGTGATCGCTTGCAGGATCTCGCTAAGTACGACCATGGACACATTACCGAAATAAATATCGTGTTGCGGGAGAAAGGATTGGTCGTGGGCAAGGTGAATCTAGACGGGCCTATTGCTCGATGCCGGCTCGACTGAAGTAATATCAAGTGTCGTCGTAGCACAAAATCTCAGACAGCATTATTCGGGACGTTGCAGCACAAGCCGCATTTTTTGGTGATACATCATGAGCCGTGTCTTGGTCTTCAGGAATCTTATGCCTCGTACTTTTCTCAAAAGTATTATCACGACGTGGAAGATGTCTTTCTTCGGATGGATCCAAACGATATTCATAGCAGAGGTTCGAAGCAAGTTTGACGGCACCGAGCTACTCACATCATCAACATAACAAAACGTTGTCTATCAAGCAAGCATCACAAGCACTCGGCTTTGCCCCGGTGGAAAAATGGAGACGTTGCCGAAGCGAAGTCGTACTCACTTAGAGCTAAAAAGTACTTACTTATGCACAAAGATATTTGAGAACTCGCTTATGCCATTGATTGCTACTGCCCTACTGGACATAAAGAAAGATTTTGTTCCATGGTTCTAGTCTCTATCTATTGTTGGTATTCGCTGGGAATTAATTCTTTTGTCATGCGAGCAGCGAGCTGAAACAACAGTGATTCAGAAGCCGACTGTTTGTTCGCCGGACAAGGGAAACAACAGTTATTTAAGAAATACGCGGAGAGAGAAACTATAACGTGAATAAAGAAAAATCAATAAATAAAAAGATTTTTAAAAAAATCAAAAAAAGAAATGGTGTTAAACCACTCCGACCACGCCAGGAGTCGAACCTGGAATCTCTAGAGAGCTCGGTGGCTCGCTTTAACCGAAATCTAGCGCCTTAGCCATTAGGCCACGCGGCCGATATGAAACTACGTTCTTATTCTAAATTATACAGCTGTAATAAATTACGGTCGCCCTCGTATGAATCGCACGTGTTGCCAGAAGGTGCATTTCCGTGGGATTGTTTAACTATGAAATGAGATGGCCGGAACGAGAACTATGACAAGTTCTGTTTGGCACTTTTGCTGGCTGTCTTCGCAAGGCCTGGTGGAGGTCGAGCCACTTAACACGTCTGACTGCATTCAAGATTTTGTTTCCCTGAGATGTAGAAAATAAGTTTTGGTCGAGACCAGTTCTTTTAATAACCCATAAGGGCTAAAACCTTTCCTCGAGTCTCGAGGGCGACTGAAATATGAGGAGTAATGGTCTGGCTGTGGTGCAGGTGCATTAAAATATAGCCGATAATCTTTTCTAGTTATTTTAATATTTCAAAAAGCATTCAATGTTATTCTTCTTGCTTTTCCAAACAGCTAATCATCCAGTGCGACTAATAATTGCCAGGTCAAAGGGTCCGGTAAATACAAGGTCTGGTGGTAATAGTTCTTGCCAGCTGCCAAGCGTTTATAACTGACAGCTTTTGCTCTGGCAGCTGCCACACACTTGCTAATATAACCAGGTGCCTAGTTTCTGAGGAATCGTCTCTTCCTACAGGATCTTTCTGTTTCCCCTCCTCTCGTTACAATAATTTCCTTGACTGCCTTGCTCTTGATCATTCAAATACAACTCTTCCACTGTCCATAAGCTCTTGGCGTTAGTTCGAGCATCAGCATTAGAAATTAGACGCCCCCTCCATCGAGAAGAACTCGTCCGCTCGTACTTTACCTTGTGAGCTGTTTGGTCCATTGTTTGGAAAGGAGTGTTTTAACTAACTAGATACCTAGGCAGGCAAGCTGTCTGTCATCGAGGATACCATGGAAGTTCCACCAGCGGCGATTTCGCCAGAAAAAACACGTGCACAAGAAGACAATAGCCTTTCAAAGATATGCGAGGAAATGAAAACCTGGCTTTCCGGTTCGCCGGCCGTGAAGTGTGTCGAATCCGCTGATGAACAGACAAAAATGAAGTCGTCGAAACCGGCCACCGCTGTCTCCAGCAAAGCTAGCTCGTCAATCCTGGTCTTGCCCAAAGCGGCCTCTGACGCAAATGCAGAGTCTGAGAGCGTTACAAGCGCAGATATGCGTAAACTTGAAGCAGCTACTATCCTGTCAAATGGCCCTTCAAATCTACCAGCTGAAACTGAGAAAGCGATGAGCCAGCTTGGTACCAGAGGCCCAACAGCTCAGGATGATTGTGGCACACCAGTTGGAGAGCAGCCTGAAGAGATCAAATCCATTGGGTCATCGAAATCAACCCCTCATGCCTCTACTTTGCTTTCAGACACTCCACTTCCTGCACCATTACACATCATTCAGGCTGCCACAGCTGTTGAGCCTGGAGAAGATGTGAAGAGAAGGCTTAGTTGGAGCGTTAGCAACGTTTGTCCTACGGAAGGGGGGCATGAAGATGGTTCGTCTTCGCTCAGCTCCGTTGTCGATCAAGAAGCCGACAGCCATATCGTGCATCTTTCTTCTGTACCCAATGCCCAGGAAAAGATTGCGCATGAATACAACGGCATCCTTCTGTATGACCCAACAGCGGAAGGCTCCAATTGTCTGATAGGAGCCTGGCTCACCAAATTCCGGGGATTGCCTTCTGTAACAGTTCCTTACGAAAATCTTTGTAACGAATCCTTTGTCCAATGCGTTATTGACACGGAGAATGGCGAGTTTCTTCCTCCCATTCCACAACCAGAAACTGTTCGAGACATGGTGGACGGTCCCTGCGAAGGCTATAATGATATCGGCTGGCGACAAGTGAACATGACATCGAATCTTTACATAAGTCAGGAGATCAAGAGTCGAGAAAATGCTGCAAAGACATTGCGCATGACTTTGGAGCAGCTCGACCACAAGCCAGAACCGATAGTCGGAACTGAGGAAGAGCATTGGCCAAAAGCAAAGTGTGTTATCCGGCCAGCTGCACCAGAAGACTTTGCCCAAATTGCAGAAATCATCAATGCTGAAGCAGCAAATACATGCAATGCCCAAATCTTCCAAGACAAACTGGCAATGGCTGATGATGTCTGCAAGATATTCGATGCTTGCGTCGCTAAGAGTAGACCATTCATCGTTGCCATACCTGCCCAAGATGACTTCCTAGACCAGAGCAAGTGGCCAAAGGACTCCGACGAAGTTTACCAGGAATTTGCAAAGTACATGGCTGCAAAGCCAAAACCGGCCGCTCCAGTTGCTGGCTTTGCATTTGTCTCCGACTATCGGATGAACTTGTATGGAGCTCCGTGTCTTTCATCGCGCTATACCGGGCAAGTAAGGCTAGCAGTACACCCTGATCATCAACGCAAACTGTACGGATCTGCACTCATGGATCGGCTTTTGCTCTCAATCTCCCCTTTTCGCAGGAGTGCACTGGATTACGTATGGGAATGCGACGACCCCAAAGATGTTTACCAATTTCCCGTGACGCGCAACAGACGCCAGTACACCCAACTGTACTTTGAGCACTTTTTTTCGCAAGAGGATTTGGCAGCTTATCAACCGGGGGCTGAGTTTCTCGGAAAGTTTGGCTTCCAAGAAATTGGATACTTCAAGAACGCGGCCGTTCGATTTGACGACCAACACCATAACCACTGGCTGAACATGGTGGTATGGCAAACCGATATCACGCCCACTTCAAAAATTGTGGCTAGACCCCAGTTGTCTGGATCAGCAGCAGGTAAAAATCGAAAAGAACATTCACAGAAATGACGAGCAAATACGAGTCGAGAAACCTGTTTCCACTCCACATGCACCCAGTGTCTTGCCTACATGGGTAGACATCCAGGGCGCACGCGTTTGTTTTCAGGTTGAGAGAACTTGCTAATCATGTAGAACGTTGATACTGAAACACGCAAGTCGAAATGCGATATGCTCGGAGGCGGTTGTTGTTGGCTGTAGGTGGATGACAATGAATCAAAAATGGATGAATAAGGAATAAAGGATTTACTACCAAAAGATGTCAAGAGCTAAGAAAAGTAGAAACAAACGTCCAAAGACTGTAGTTAGAGTCTAACTTGGACGTTTATGAAATGGGATAATGACAATTGATTTCCAAGCGCTGATGGCTTATGGTGAAGCGTGTCCGGTTGGAAAAACTGCAGTTGGAACCCGCGGTAAGGGGTCAACGGTGTTGCAGTGGTTGAGTGGCACCAAGGCGCCGCCAGTTAAGTGGTCGGGATCCATGATGCATCACGTGTGGGCGTACATTGAAGGTATCTATTTGATCCAAACTTGACCATTATTCAACACCACTCCCGAATCACTGGGACAGTGCACAATCTTGAGACTGCGGAAATTTTTGCAGTATTTGAAGAAAGACAATATTAAAAGCAGCAGCCCTGCTTGGCGAAGATCCCGCCTCCCAATATGCTGTCTATCCTCCGAAAAGCCCGCCTCAAAGACAAGGAGATGAGAATATTGATGCTGTGCGTGGCTCCTCCCATCGAAGCATAGTTGGCGATTACCAATGTAATTTCGGACTAACGGGCTACCACAGGGGCTTGGACAATGCCGGCAAAACAACGATCGTGAAGAAAATTATGGGGGAAGACATCAACACAGTTAGCCCGACATTAGGCTTTATTATCAAGACGATTGACTACGATGGGTGAGCGCCCCTGAAGCAGTGTCCGTGTATGGACATGTTTGTTAACAATCTACTCGTTAGGTATAAATTAAATATATGTAAGCCAAACGGTGTGACCCCGTGAATACCTGTACTAATGGCGCAGGGGACGTTGGCGGTCAAAAAACTCTTCGGTCATACTGGCGCAATTATTTCGAGAAGACGGATGCGCTGATATGGGTTGTT